GTTTAGGCATCTCAATACACCTTTCATTAATTAGGTGTACTACAAGCTCTGTTGAGATGATGGGCTTTATTCTAAGGAATAGAGGCCAGTTTGGGCACCATCCTTCTCTCCATCACATCAAACGAGAAGTCCTAGTGTTCTTCAAAACCTCCTTTAGCCTACAAGCCTCCTTCATGTTGATATCACCTTCTCAGAAACAGCAGCGAATAACATGAACCTGCCTATGATTCTGCATGTTCCTAAGGACTTTATTCACCTGACGAAGAATATCCTGCTCTGCTATTTCTCATAGCGTCCCTGTAAATGGAGTTTTACCTTAAATGTAAATATATAAAATGCATCCTATGTGCTAGAACGTCTTCAGATGTCTATATGAAGATACCAGCGAAAACCAATATACCTTCTGCCACAGTTAGTGTTTCTAATTAATTATAGATCAACTCAGGTGTCTAAAATCCCAAATATCTGTGGAAAAGGTTAGAAAAAGAATTTCAGCTGTGATTTTTTTGACTCTCCAAAATTAAGATGTCTTTTTCCTCGTTGGGCATTTTTATCGTATGTTCCCGCAAAGTCACACATAACATTGATTACATTTAGTTTTGTAAAGTAAGTGGGTTTACAAGGAGAAGCTCTGTCAGTCCCTCCACATGCTGGCCCTCCACAGAATGGCTCGCCGCGTTGCTGTGATCGGAGGGGGAATCTCAGGGCTGACTTGTATCAAGTGCTGCCTCGACGAGGGACTGGAGCCCGTCTGCTTTGAAAGCAGCGATGACATCGGGGGCTTGTGGAGGTTCAAGGTGAGCTCGAGTTGGCTGGGAACCTTGCCTTAGTTAATCAAAGGTCTGTTGTAGGAGTATTAGTGAATCTGTATAATTAGCATTTTTTATTGTAATCTCTCTTGTGTGACTGATATGGCATGTGATCAGAAACTCGTCATGCTGCTCAGAAGTTTGACTTATCTTGTTCCTGAACCTTCACCTACAGAAACACAAAACTGTTTTTGATCTGCATTCACAGGCAGCCCTTGCAGGTTCA